AAAAAAAAATAAGATATGGTAAGAACACACCTTACTACAAAACCATCCTGTGGATTGGTTGGGGGGGCTGTGGATTGGTTGGGGGGGGTGGGGGTGAGTGGGTGGAACATAACGTGAACAGTGGGATATATTTTAATCATTTCCAATGCACACCATCTCAGATCCATGATGGTTATCTTTCAAACTTGTTCCCCAGCACCCTCTTCCTCAGATGCCTGCTTTACCTCTTCATCTCTCTTCATCTTCCAACGGTCATCTCCTCCCACAGGCGTAATGAAACACTACAATGAAGATCTGTTGTTTGAAATATCCACATGTTCCAATCTCTAAATGAAGATATGTTGTTGTTTTAAATGTCCCCCATGTTCCAATCTCTAAATGAAGATCTGATTTTGTTTCAAATTTCCCCATGTTCCAATCTCTAAATGAAGATCTGTTGTACTTTTAAATGTCCCCCTGTTCCAATCTCTAAATGAAGATCTGTTTTTGTTTCAAATTTCCCCATGTTCCAATCTCTAAATGAAGATCTGTTTTTGTTTTAAATGTCCCCATGTTCCAATCTCTAAATGAAGATCTGTTGTACTTTTAAATGTCCCCCTGTTCCAATCTCTAAATGAAGATCTGTTTTTGTTTCAAATTTCCCCATGTTCCAATCTCTAAATGAAGATCTGTTTTTGTTTGAAATGTCCCCTTGTTCCATTATGTTTTATGTCACATGTCTTCCTGTAAGCGTCCCTGAGCTGTGATATTTTCACAACATTCTATATTGCCGTTTATAATCATTCTAAAAAAAAATTAATAAAAAATCAGTCAGTTTTTCTTTTAAACAAGAAAAAGTAAAACGCTGCATCATCCCTGGCCCCCGCGATGTGAAGACGTCATTATGGAGCCAATCTTGAGCCAGCATCACTCACCGTGGGTTGAGGTTAGGTAAACATGCACCCGTTGACTGGGTGATCTTGGCTCTCCCTTTCAAACAACAACTGCGGCGTTACTGCATGGCTGCTAACATGTTAGATCACTTTCTCTCTATCTAAAGATCACTTTCTCTCTGTCTAAAGATCACTTTCTCTCTGTATAAAGATCACTTTCTCTCTATCTAAAGATCACGTTCTCTCTATCTAAAGATCACTTTCTCTCTATCTAAAGATCACTTTCTCTCTATCTAAACTCATCTTTTCATTTCACAGTTTTGCTATTCGAAGGTTAATTCACCCGATTTGAGAGGTTATTTTAATGTTAACACCTCTGCTTTTTCTAAAAAGAATTTAAAAAAAAAAAAATGATATTAATAATAAAAGATCAGTTGTTCCTGCGTGTACTTCCCTGGATAACCTAACTGCATAGCTCGCTGACTAGCCTCAGAGCATACCTCCCTTGCTAATTTAACTGCATTCCTCCATGACTTTCCTTACTGCATAACTCCGTGGCTTACCTTACTGCATACTTTGCGTACCTTCTTAGCTATCCTCAATGCATACCTCCCTGGCCAACCTTACTGCATACCTCCCTGGCCAACCTTACTGCATACCTCCCTGGCTAACCTTACTGCATACCTCCCTGGCCAACCTTACTGCATACCTCCTGGCCAACCTTACTGCATACCTCCCTGGCTAACCTTACTACATACTTTGCGTACCTTCTTAGCTATCCTCACTGCATACCTCCCTGGCTATCCTCACTGCATACCTCCCTGGCTATCCTCACTGCATGCCTCCCTGGCTATCCTTACTGCATACCTCCCTGGCTAACCTTACTGCATACCTCCCTGGCTATCCTCACTGCATACCCTCCCTGGCTATCCTCACTGCATACCTCCCTGGCTATCCTCACTGCATACCTCCCTAGCTATCCTCACAGCATGCCTGTTTGGCTATCCTTACTGCATACCTCCCTGGCTAACCTTACTACATATTTTGCGTACCTTCTTAGCTATCCTCACTGCATGCCTGCCTGGGTATCCTTACTGCATACCTCCCTGGCTAACCTTACTACATACTTTGCGTACCTTCTTAGCTATCCGGGCTAACTTAACTGCATACCTCCCTAGCTATCATCACTGCATACCTCCCTTGCTAACATAACTGCATACCATCTCACAGCACACCTCCATGGCTTGTTCGAACTCTTTCAGTCTCTATTCTCCTTCTCTCTCTCTCTCTCTCTCTCTCTCTCTCTCTCTCTCTCTCTCCCTCTCTCTCTGCCCCTCCCTCTCTCTGTCCTCATCTGACTTCGTGACGAATCCCATATCTCTTTGGTAGAGCTCTCTCCTTGTCCTCGTCCAAAATTACATCCAACTTTCAGTTAAGTTCTCGCCCACGCAACCACCTCGCATTTCCGGCCATTGCTCTCGCAAGCGCCTTGCAAGGTTTGGGTCCCCGCCCGCACCCCCCCCCCTTTTTTTATCTGGGACATCTCCGGTGGTCTTGATGATGACTTGATCCAAGGGCGGTGCTAGGTGGGCGGGGGAGGAGGAGGAGGGGGCGGGCCAGGAGATCAGTGGTATCCACAAACTGCATCAGCCAATTACGATGAAAAGTCACTGAACAATAATCTAGAGCTAAGCCTTTGTTTACCCCCGGGATTAGACAGGAATACCGGCAACACTACGTCAAGATTAGCCACAGTAACTTGTACCCCCGTTACGGGATCCAGTTTATAATACAACATGAAGCTGGCACAAGTCGGTTGGCCAAACTGCGGCTATTAAGTGACCCCGGTGATCTCCCCCCCCCCCAAACCGAACTATGTGAGTAGGACATAAGCATGGGGGCGCACCGGTAACACGAAGGACATACAGATATCGCACAAGTCCCGTTACGGGATCCAGTTTATAAGACAACATGAAGCTGGGCCAAGTCGGTTGGCCAAACTGCGGCTATTAAGTGACCCCGGTGATCCCCCCCCCCCCCAAACCGAACTATGTGAGTAGGACATAAGCATGGGGGCGCATCGGTAACACGAAGGACATACAGATATCGCACAAGTCTTTATGTTGTTAGTTATGTCTAACGAATCTAGGCAATAGCTTGTCGAATCTAGGCAATAGCTTGTCGTAACTACGAGAAGAGCTACTGCTCCCATTCAAGCGTAAAAACATCTTCGAAAGATAGTGTAACCTCAGCCCCCAATAATATCTCCACATACCCAATAAATTCATCATATCCCCCAAAATTTTTCTCATATACCCAATAATTCATCATATCCCCCAATAATAACCCCACATAATCAATAAATGTATCATATTCCCCAATAATATCCCCATATACCTAATAAATTCATCAAATTCTCCAATGATATCCTCATATACCCAATAATTCATCATATTCTCAAAAGATTTCCTCATACCCAATGATACTCTCTGCCTCTTATCCACTAATGATATCCTAATATCCTCAAACGAGGTTTCTCATATCCCCTCCAATATATCCTCAATTCCCCGAATGATATTCGGAAAAGTTTCGAAATTGCTCCAGGGACCGGTGCCAGATATTATTTTCTCATTGTATTTGACCATAAATATTAATGTTGTGACGGAAACGTAAGCCTCGCCGACCGGTTGCTCTACTATACTTGCATTATTGATATATTATACTTGATGTATTATACTTACAAGACTTACTGCTTTTTTATTCCCCACCAAATAGTTTTTCTTGGCCCCCCACACCAAGAAGTATTGATGTGTCTCCCCAACCACAAAGTCTTGCTTGCCCCCCCCCCCACCCACCAAGAAGTATTGATATGTAACCCTTATTGCAACCAAGAAGTTTTGTCACCGAAAAATTCCTCTTTTGCAGATCTCCAAAGACTCTAAGATCAAGTTCCAGAACCAACGCACCAGGCTGACGGCCAAGAGGCGCTGCCGTGACCTGNGAAGTGTATTGATTTTGTTCAAGTTATTGATGATTTACACATTTGAAGACCAGAAAAGGACTATTTTAAATAAAGAACCGTATTTTTTGTTTCAATATATTAATTAATATTGTTACAGTAAACTGATCCAATTCGATGTCTCAAAACTCACTATCTCTGTTTACAGCATTGTTCGAACTAGTCTACAGATTGCAACATAAATATTGAATAGCAATACCTTAAAAAAAACCAAAAAAACATAAAATTTATTAACTATACTAAAATTTTATTTTATTTTTCAACAGTTTCCTGAAAAATAAATTATTGAACTTACACCAATAACAAAAAAAAAAAAAAAAAAATGCTGTCTTAGTATAATATGCCAGGTATGTTGATGGAGAGAGAAACCGTTTATGCCCTGTTGTAACCTAATCCCTAGGTCAAACTTCACGACAGTGTTGGAGGGTGAACGCTCTGTATCCCTGCAATGCCACGATCTTTTAAACACGAACATACGTCAGTAGGTTAACATATAGTTAATACACATACAGCAGGGAACAAAACGAATAAGGAAGTTAATTATAAGGATGCTATCATTTATAGAATTCCATAGCAACTCGAATGTTTTATTACAGTGGCCAGACTCCCATACCCACTCTAATGTTTATATCACAGTGGCCAGACTCCCATACCCACTCTAATGTTTATATCACAGTGGCCAGACTCCCATACCCACTCTAATGTTTATATCACAGTGGCCAGACTCCCATACCCTCTCATTATATAGGAGTCCAAAGTCCAAACCTGCCCTGCCCATCATTATTCGTTATGTCATTGCTCCACATACAACATTAAATTTCCCAAGCTGCTCTCAGGGAGGGTAAGGCAAGGTGTAAGTTAAAGGCCATTTTTACTGTTACTGAACAAAAATATTCTAAACTGGGACTTGAACCAGTGACCGCTTGCCCACTCACCTCATCTCTTACTGACACTGCCTCCCATCCACCTTGTAGACACTCCTGATAAGAATAATGCCTAAATGATAAGAATAATGCCTAAATGATAAGAATAATGCCTAAATGATAAGAATAATGCCTAAATGATAAGAATAATGCCTAAATGATCCGACTCTGATTTCCTTGAGCGCAGATGCCAATGCGAGCTCTAGATGTAACCCCAAGGCCTTGACCCCAAGTCTACGCATCTTTTCCTTCAATGAAGTTGTTCGACCAATGCAGGGTTGTGTGAATGAGAGAAGGAACCACGTGGTAGCCAAGTAAGAGATTTTCTAATGACACATTTATATCAACTGTAATGATGTCCATTCTTTCATCTTAGTGGACTGCAACAGATATTTCATCAAATCGCCCCAAGTTAAAAATAATCATGAAAACAAGGCTTCTCCTTGCTGTATTTTTTCTTTAAAAAAATTTTTTTTTTAATATCTTCATATTATAAAACATTTGCAGTAAGCTTAATCAGATCTGTGTATACGCATGACAGTTTTATTTCTCAATTCATTCATCGTTGTAACTCAAAACGAAATCTGGATGCATTTCATCTCCAGGCCTGTGTATATTGTGGTTAAATCTGAACGCTTTTTCCTCTCCGGGCCTGTTGTATATTGTGGTTAAATCTGAAAGCTTTGCCTCCCCAGGCCTGTTGTATAGTGTGGTTAAATCTGAAAGCTTTGCCTCCCCAGGCCTGTTGAATAGTGTGGTTAAATCTGAAATTTTTCTTCTCCAGGCCTGTGAATATTGTGGTTAAATCTGAAAGCTTTTGTTCTCCAGGCCTGTTGTATATTGTGGTTAAACCTGAAAGCTTTTGCTCCCCAGGCCTGTGTATATCTTGGAGCTGCTTGATCCACCAAGCCAATCACCTGGCATCTCTGGCATTGACCTTGAAATACTGACAGTCAATGCGGACGGCGAGGAGGAAGACCGTGACGAAGAAGAGATGGACAGGGATATCCATCTGTTGGTCAAATCTCCTCCCAACCTGAAGTGGTCGCTGCACTCAAAAAGTATTGCAGGACTCGTGGAAATAGTGGTAATTATTATGATTTTTCTCTAATTCTCGTATATCTTTTATACTTCCCCCCCCCCCTGAGCTGCCGTCATGCTTAAATCTATTTCAAACGTGTCTACATATTATGTGTGTGTATAAAAGAGTGTTTTCAGGCTCTGGTCTCCGTGTGCAGTGTTGTAGCTTTGAAAACTGTTAAAGCTTGGTCCAGGTAAACAAATAAACACCTTTGTCTTGAATTGAATACCAATAAAGTAACCAATTAGTTTGTATTTCAAACAAAATTATGCTTTGTTTTTTCAGTTAATGTTGATGAATATATTTAAATGTTGCTTTTTTTTTTTTAATTTAAATTGTTTCACCTTAGATTGTGAATGGTTTTTATAAAAAAAAAAACTATTTTTTTTTTATTTTAAAAATTTTGTTTTTTCAGTTAATGTTTATGAATATATTTAAATGTTTCTTTTTTTTTTTAATTTAAATTGTTTCACCTTAGACTGTGAATGGATTTTATAAAAAAAAAAACTACTTTTTTTTTACATTAAAAACCAAGCAGGACATAAAGCTTCAATACAAATCTTTAGTTTAACTTATGTTTGTTTCCAGAGTGTTTTTGTTTTCCCCTTACTTGTTCATCTTAAAAAATTTATTTTGTTTTAGTTGTTTTTTTTTTTTTTTTTTTTTTTTTTTTTTTTTTTTTTTTTTTTTTTTTTTTTTTATTTTTTTTTTTTTTGTTTTTTTTTTTAAATTTTAAAAAAGAAAACTTGTCTTGTGCTGTTGTTTGAATCATTGATAAATATTCCATAGGAATTGTAACTTCTCACCCCCACCCTGTACTTTTTTTGTTTGTTCTCCCCCACCCCCACAGGCTGATGCTGATGTAAGAACAACTGGTGTGAAGTTTAGCTCAGTTGCCCTCAGGACAGAGGTCATCACAGTTTCAGGGAGGGAGCTGGTGGACTGGTCCAAGGATTTCATAGCCCCTGTCCAGCTGTATGCAGGCATCCATGGGGCCAACACCATCAAGCTGAAGATCCCCCCAACAGGTGGGTCATGTGGAAAGGACCAGCTTACAATCATGTGATCAGCTTACAATCATGTGATCAGCTTACAATCATGTGATCAGCTTACAATCATGTGATCAGCTTACAATCATGTGATCAGCTTACAATTATGTGATCAGCTTACAATCATGTGATCAGCTTACGGTCATGTGATCAGCTTACGGTCATGTGATTTCATTGACTTGCAGATTTATGATGACACTCTCATTGATCAATGGTGACAATGTTTTTCTCAGAAGTACCCCAAAACCCCAAATAAATTTCAAGGGAAAAAAAAGTAAATGTTTGTCAACACAGTTTGCCTTTCAGTAAATTTCTACGCTGGGTACGTTGTAATTTAGCTAAGGTAAAGTGCAGAAAAAGAAAATTGCTATTAGAACACTAAATCCCTTGATTTATAAATGTCTTGATTAGCGCCAACGTCTAGTTAATAAATGTCTTGATTAGCGCCAACGTCTAGTTTATTAATGTCATGGTTAGAATCAACGTCTAGTTTTATTAATGTCTTGGTTAGCATCAACGTCTAGTTTTATTAATGTCTTGATTAGCGCCAACGTCTAGTTCATAAATGTCTTGATTAGCGCCAACATCTAGTTAATAAATGCCTTGATTAGCATCAACGTCTAGTTTATAAATGTCTTGATTAGCGCCAACGTCTAGTTTATTAATGTCATGGTTAGAATCAACGTCTAGTTTTATTAATGTCTTGGTTAGCATCAACGTCTAGTTTTATTAATGTCTTGATTAGCGCCAACGTCTAGTTCATAAATGTCTTGATTAGCGCCAACATCTAGTTTATAAATGTCTTGATTAGCGCCAACGTCTAGTTTATTAATGTCATGGTAAGAATCAACGTCTAGTTTTATTAATGTCTTGGTTAGCATCAACGTCTAGTTTTATTAATGTCTTGATTAGCGCCAACGTCTAGTTAATAAATGCCTTGATTAGCATCAACGTCTAGTTTATAAATGTCTTGAATAGCATCAACGTCTAGTTTTATTAATGTCTTGAATAGCATCAACGTCTAGTTTTATTAATGTCTTGAATAGCATCAACGTCTAGTTTTATTAATGTCTTGAATAGCATCAACGTCTAGTTTATTAATGTCTTGAATAGCATCAACATCTAGTTTATTAATGTCTTGAATAGCATCAACGTCTAGTTTTATTAATGTCTTGAATAGCATCAACGTCTAGTTTTATTTATGTCTTGAATAGCATCAACGTCTAGTTTATTAATGTCTTGAATAGCATCAACGTCTAGTTTTATTAATGTCTTGATTAGCGCCAACATCTAGTTAATAAATGCCTTGATTAGCATCAACGTCTAGTTTATAAATGTCTTGAATAGCATCAACGTCTAGTTTTATTAATGTCTTGAATAGCATCAACGTCTAGTTAATTAATGTCTTGAATAGCATCAACGTCTAGTTTATAAATGTCTTGAATAGCATCAACGTCTAGTTTTATTAATGTCTTGAATAGCATCAACGTCTAGTTAATTAATGTCTTGAATAGCATCAACGTCTAGTTAATGAAATGAAACAAAAAACCAGTGATGTCAATTTTTGGAAATTTGCAAGTTATCTCCTGTGTGGCTACAGGCCATTAAATAGAATAATATGAAACATAGACCCAATTGAAAAAGCAGCGTAGTCAATAAATAAATATTTTGACATCTTGACATTTTTATGCTTTCATGGGTAATTTTTAAACTTAATTATCAATTTTCGCAAAACTCTCAAAACCTGACATCACTGTTTTTTCCCTTGAACCCTTCATTAATGGAAGGGGGTACACACAGTGCATTTCTTTGAGTTACAAGAATGTATGTAACTTACTGATGTATCAGTTTAAAAATATCTTAAATTTCAATGACAGGCTCAATCAGGGAAATATGAATTGTGTTTGCATTTGATCCATCCACACCATGTTCACTTTCTATGTAAATAAAGGCATAAATAGTTCATTTGAGATCTTAGTCCCAACTTTGGGTTAAGCAATAATAGATACGTGGAGATGTCGATCCCAATATTTCATTATGCTATCGTAGGTTCCCTGCGATGTCAGTCCCAACACTGGATTATGAATTCATGATTAACTTGAGATCTCCATTCCAGCTTTGGTTATGTCACGGTAGGCTACTTGAGATGTCCATTCCAGCTTTGGTTATGTCATGGTAGGCTACTTGAGATGTCAGTCCCAACACTGGATTATGTAATCAATCTTAGATAATTTTTTAATTCAATCAGACTTTGAAACCTAGTGGGACTTTTTTGTTTCTAAAACTCTTCAGGTAAAAACAAGGCCTCTCCAAGGGACAGAACCACTAGCTCAAATGGCAAACCTGAAAAAGGTCCGGTCCGCAAGAATGGTCCTGATCAACAGGACCCGAGTAAGAACCAAATTAGGACGACCTGTGCAGGCGGACAGATGGAGGTCGTCATATCAAAAATATTTATTGAGGTAAGCTCAATCTATTGGCCATTTCTTGATGATGTGACATCATTTTATCAAATTATCATTTATTTCGTGTAACAAGTGGGAAGGCTGTCCGTTTAAACATTAAGTTACGCCTTCAGTTGCCACTCTTTCTCTCTCTCCCTCCCTCCCTTGTGACTCCCTGTTAACATTTATAGGGGCACTTTACTGTCAATCTTTTATCAGATCAGATTTCTAGCCATGATCGGATTGTATATTCAAATAGTTTGTGGGGCATAGATCTAATATATTTCTTGAAATAAAAATTCTTTCTTTGGGGCTGTACGTTAAGGTTTCTCAAACTTGTTCCACCCATCGGCCACTTATTAGTATAAACTGATTGTCATTCTTATTTTCATTCCTTTGCCATTCTTCAGCTGTTTGGCTTTACTTCATAAACTGGTGTCAGGATCATTTGAGTTTAATACAAGATGACATTTTGTTCTTGCACTATTCCATATTCTATATTACTTAGCTCTTAGGCCATCTTGAAAACGGTTCCCCACATTCCCCCCCCCCTCTAATTGTAAAGAACTTCACTGTAATCCAGTTAACATTTCTGATTAATTAATTTATTTGCAGCTGTTTCTTTAAGTTATAGAATTGAGTAAACTTTCATTCATTTGAAACCATAGATACAAGTTTGTTTACATAGCAAACCATTATATGTGTGTTATAATGAAACAGGCATGAAAGATTTGTTAACATAGTATGAAATTATACAGACCCACGAAAATCTCCTTATGACTTTATTCTGTACACTTTGCTGACCCATTGCCATATCGCAAAATCAAGAAAAGATAGGACATTGGCCAGTCATTTTACAACGACATTGGCCGTTTCATGATTTGGCCGGTCACTTCTCCCTTTTGCCTATTTCTAGTTCTGGCTGCAACATATTTATAATAGATGAGCCGATTTTAAATTTGACCTTATTGGGCAATGGCCTAAATTAATCACGTATTGTTTTGGGCCTGTTCACAGTGGGCCGGATTAGGCGATTACAAGATCTCACTGACGGACCCGACATGTCAGCCGATTGAAGAGTCAGATGACTCTATCATTTTACGAACTGGTCTGACTGCTTGCGGAACACAGGCTGCCCCTATGGACGATGTCGTCTCTTTTACAAATGCCGTAAGTTGAATTGCTGTTGATGTTTTTTGTTGTTTTTTTTTACAAGTTACTTTAAATTATTTAGCCCACTGTCCTGTCTTTAAAAAAAAAGAAGATTTATGCCAAAATTTGGGTTGAGACTCTTGATATCTTTTACGGTTTGTATTGAAGGTGTGGTTGGCATCAGTGGTGTGGTTTACATTGTAAATGTATCGGTGTGTATCGATGTGTGTCGGTGATGGCAGCGTGCATTTTAAAAGCCTGTTCAGATTTTGTCCATTGAGCCATTTTTGGATGTTGTGTAACACAAGCCATCAGCATTGATCAGCCCATGTCAATGTAATGAAACAAATCCAGATATTATTGAAATTTGTTAGAAATTTAGCTGTTGTCCTTGTATTTGGCAGGTTCTAATAATCACGGATGAACTTAGTTTGTATTTCATGTTCCCCAACACTCCTGCAAGTTTCCTTCTTTATTTCAGGTTATTATCAAGACTCCTCCTGGACTGGTCAACAGTTATTTGGAGGATGAGGTGGGGAGCGGATTCTTCCGGGAGGAAGGTGGATCCGGATTAGACGACCTTGATCCGCTAACAGATGATGAGGATTATGGAAAGAAACATCTCAACATCACTGTGGAATGCAAGATCTCAATAGAGGTGTGTGCTTTGTAACTTTCAAACATTAAGGATAGTGAATGAGGCTTTGTAACTTTCAAACAATATGGATAGTGATTCAGGCTATGTAACTTTAAAACATTAAGGATCGTGTATCAGAGTTCAAGTCGTGCAAAGGAAACAGTGGAACAAGATATGATGATCAAAGGAACGTTTGGGCTAGATGCCTTCTTCCACAGACAAAAATCAAGAAATATGAAATATTAAGGAATAGAAATTCAAAATCTACAATATCTAAATCGCTCACTAGAGACAGGTTAAGTTTTCTATAAGCAAAGCTTACCAAACTTTCGGTATTTTTAATGTGACATTTTTATAATTTTGAAAATATCAAGTAGGAAAAAAAGACCCAAAAAAATGAGAATTAGAAATGGATGAAAATTGGGGACCGTGAGTAAGAAAATATTTAATTGCTTCCATATGATCATTTGGTGCCGAACCAAATATCTGAATTAATTTGTTTTCATTATTCACTCCAACAAGTGTTTAAGTCTATGCTCACAATGGGATGGACACACCTGATGTGCCCTTGTGTTCATCTCTGCTGACAATGGGACGAGACCGAGAATTAATTGTGTTGTTCAATATTTAAAATAGGCAATGACAGGTTCTGTATTTTACAACAGTGTACAAGTGATGTGCACAAGACTTACTTGTAGTTCAAAATGGCACAACTGTAACAGTAGGGCACATATCACAACTGGGGAAGTACAAAATGGCACTACTGTAACAGTAGGGCACAAATCACAACTGGGCAAGTACAAAATGGCACAACAGTAACAGTAAGGCACATATCACAACTGGGGAAGTACAAAATGGCACAGTAACAGTAAGGCACATATCACAACTGGGGAAGTACAAAATGGCACAACTGTAACAGTAGGGCACAAATCACAACTGGGGAAGTACAAAATGGCACAACAGTAACAGTAAGGCACAAATCACAACTGGGGAAGTACAAAATGGCACAGTAACAGTAAGGCACATATCACAACTGGGGAAGTACAAAATGGCACAACTGTAACAGTAGGGCACAAATCACAACTGGGGAAGTACAAAATGCCACAACAGTAACAGTAGGGCACATATCACAACTGGGGAAGCACATTCACATCAAAATAAATATACAAAGAATTTAATATTACCAACAAAATATTTGTATTTTTAATGTGTGGTCTGAGATAAAATTCTTTAAATGATCGGTGCTTGTCCTATTTCCCATCTGACTGAACTCAAAATACCATATCTTGAGCTGTCCCTCCATAGATGTCCTCTAGACCTACAAAATACCATATCTTCAGCTTTTCCTCCATAGATGCCCTCTAGACCTACAAAATACCATATCTTGACCTGTCCCTCCATAGATGCCCTCTAGACCTACAAAATACCATATCTTGAGCTGTCCCTCCATAGATGCCCTCTAGACCTACTGGGGACATTATAGAAGTGACTCCATTTCACTTACTACAGGGTGCATGAATAAAGTGATGACTCTCCATAACTTCTTTGTTCATCTTTCTTCTAGAAACCTTCTGCCAAGTGTGACATGATCCTCTACAAAGAACCACTCTTTCGTACCACTAAAACCAACTACCCAGTGACTGTGCTCAAGGACAGCTTCATGTTCATTAAGGCTTCCATAGGTCAGTGAGATCAATTGCTTTTGGTAGGTCAGTGAGAGAAATAGCCTGAAGTGGGTCAGTGATATAAATGGTCTTCAGTGAGTCAGTGAGTGAAATGGCATTAAGTGGGTCAGTGAGAGAAATGGCCATAAATGGGTTAGTGAGATAAATGGCCTTCAGTGGGTCAGTGATATAAATAGTAATGGCGGAAAAGGGGAGGGGGGCGAAGACAGCAGTAGCACACGTATGGTTAGATATTTCAATCTACATGCTTGACTTCTTGAAATAATGTGCACTTGTGCATGGTTTTTGTTCTACTTCTAAACCAGCAAGTCTTTTAATCTTAGAGGTTGAGGTCAGCCTGACCCCGGGGTCTACTACCCCCCCATTTTGACCATTCCACCATTCATAATGGCTTAGGACAAACAGCCAGTGATAAGAGTTTCTCTATCATTTACTTGTGTTGCAGGTTCAGACAGTACTCTGATGGTGGACTCGTGCTGGTTCTCAAACTCCAAACTGCCCCAGGACAGTGATGCTCACACTGAGATGATCGTCACCAATGGGTTTGTCAATAATATCCTTTCATGAAATTTTGTCCCTTCTCACGTCAACCCATTTGAAAATGCAGCTGTAACATATTTGTATATTCTAGTCTTGGTTTTGGATTGCAAACTGCTTACCATTTGAAGGGACATTCTATTGACAGAGACGTTTCATGCTTAATGTTTCAGTCTTATTTTATTACCCATATATTCTTTAATATTGGTTTGTTGATGGAAGTCAGTTAAAAAGTACTTTAACAGGGGTTCTCAAGCTTTTTTGCAGTGTCACACCCCTTCTTGATTGCAAAACATTTCCTTCACTCCCACAATTACAAAAATGCTAATAAAAATGAAATTAAACCATTTTTTTCTGGGTATTTCCGTACAGCCAGACAATGCCTTTCGCACACCCAGGGGGGGTGGGGGTGCAGGAACCCCTGTTTAAAACCCCCAGACTACAATAACAAAATGTCTTAATTGTCCTCAGATGTGAGCGAGATCCTTACTTTACCTTGATTGATCCTCCCATGGAGTCCCACAATGGTCCCAACATGAATGAGGCTAAGTTCAGAATTATCTTCAAGGACTGGATCAAGGGCTACTCCCAGATCTACCTCCACTGCCAGTTTTACTCTTGTCAGAGAAGCAGCGCGACAGGGGTACGAACAGCACGTTTGTTTGTCTTGATAGTAATTGTGTTTTTAAGGTTTTTTCTCCTCCCTTTGTATTTCAGAAAAATTGTCAGTCTTAAAAAAGCACAACTGAAAACTCTCAGCCCTGAAGCATCAGCTGTAAAAAGAAATAGATAACTTGCCTGCTAATACATTCTGCAGCCTTGTAGGCCTGTGTCATAGCTTATGGATAACTTACCTGCCAATACATTCTGCAGCCTTGTAGGCCTGTGTCATAGCTTATGGATAACTTACCTGCCAATACATTCTGCAGCCTTGTAGGTCTGTGTCATAGCTTATGGATAACTTACCTGCCAATACATTCTGCAGCCTTGTAGGCCTGTGTCATAGCTTATAGATAACTTGCCTGCTAATACATTCTGCAGCCTTGTAGGGCTGTGTTTCATAGCTTATTGATAACCGACCTGCCAATACATTCTGCAGCCTTGTAGGCCTGTCTCATAGCTTATGGATAACTTACCTGCCAATACATTCTACAGCCTTGTAGGCCTGTGTCATAGCTTATGGATAACTTACCTGCCAATACATTCTACAGCTTGTAGGCCTGTGTCATAGCTTATGGATAACTTACCGGCTAATACATTCTACAGCCTTGTAGGCCTGTGTCATAGCTTATGGGTAGTGCAGCTGGAACCCTATGATTATGAAGGATCAACAATGACATGGATATGTGGATTACTACATTTTGCTGCTTCCTAATGATTACGTTGACAAATGATCCTGCTTTAGAAAGTGTGGACTAATTGTTTATTAAATTTATTAGGGTTATGGTCACACTCAAGGTTTTGCAGGCAAGGCAATTTTACAAGAGGTACAAGTCAGTCTGGGAACAATATGCAGATATGCATCCTGTCTGGTTGTTAGAAGCTAGCAAATGTCTGGGAGCCACGGCAACAGGCTCCAAATAACAGGCTGAAATCTTTTTTTTTTGTTGTTATACTTCAATGTTTTCTTTCAAACCCTTTTTTTTTAACAGTGTGTTAGAGGTCCCCGTAAAGGCTGCACAGAAATTGTTCCTGGGGACCCCAGGCCGAGGAGACCAGCCTGTGCCCCAGTGACCATTGGACCATTGGAACTTATAGACAGAGACATCCCAAAACAAGTGCTTGGTCAGTTCTCAATTGTTCAAATATATCTTATGTTATAGCTACTAACATAATAAATAATACGTTTTAAAAATGCTTCTTTCCTTAGGTTTTTAATAAAAATAATGTAATACTTTAATTTAAATGGTGTACTTTTGTTATAATTTATTTAATAATTTTTAACGTGAAAGGAAAGGAAAAAAAAAAATGTTGACTTTTAAAACTAAACTTTGAAAGTTATATTATGAATATTTTGATCTATCATAGAGGCTTATAATTATTACTATATATAAAATATATATATATCTGAAGAGTCGATTTTCAAAATGCTGTATATCCATTTTTGGCGTTTTGAGATAATTGACTTTTTCTGCTATACAATGATGGCTCAAATTTTCGGAAAATTAAATGTTAATTTAGGTATATATTTAAAATATAAGTTAGATTATGATGAAAATTGAAATGTAGGTTAATGAAAATGTATTTATTTACTTGGTTGAATTTCTTATTTCATTTCAAAATGCTCTGTATCCAGCTGTAACTTAGTGACAAAATGCTGTATATCCATTTTGATAGCATAACATTATTCTCAGTAGCAAATAATTCAAGTTGTTTACAGATTACAAACCACTTACATAACAAAATAAAATTAAATTGTATCATATACATTATATAATTGTGTATGATTAAAGTTTTTATTGATATATTTTAACAGAAAAGTGTTATAATTGCTGAGAAGTCGGTTGTAATAGTGTCATGTTTAGAGTGCAATAAGTTTGCATGATTTGTTTTTATAAATCTGAATTCTAAACAAAGTTAAACAAGATAATGTTCAATTCAGAAATCATTTTATTTGAATTTAGAACAACGACAAAATAGAAAATAATGAAGTGTCTGATTCAGAGTGGGCATCATCTTCAACAGCAGTTTGATTTTGTTAAAGGAAAAGTTGATGCTTTTTATTTACATTTAAATCAGAGCGCAAATATTTCTGTCTTTGAGCACCCTTTTTTTCTGTCATGGCTGGATCTGCATGTAAAAGATTGAACATGTAATAAATAACACAGCTAACTCTGTAAAACAATTTTTTATTTTCATTTCCTTAAAACTTCTGATGTGTAATAACCATAACCATAATAATAATAATAATGTAAATGAAATTTAATGTTTTTTTTAATAAATTTACCGGCAGCTCACCTTGCAGAACCATTTATCGTGATTACACGTGACCGCTTGAATGACGAAATGATTTGTCTTTTTCTCGTGTTGAGCTTTTTTTCTTTCTTTTTCGAGATTTTATAGTACAAACAACTCTTTCATCCAGGCCATCATTATGCACCGTGTTTGTTGTTGTTTCGCGTCGTGATGTTTAGTGCGCATGCGCAGAATGCCGCAGAATAGCTCGTCAATCACACTGATTGGTCCGAAAATATATATAACATTTTGATAATAAAAAAAAAAAATTCACACCGTGTTTTCAAAATAAAATTATTTTTAGTCATAGAATAATATAGTGTTAAAATGTGTTTTGTAGGTAAACTTTAACATGCCCTAAAGGAACCTGGTTTGCTCTACAAGAATGTACAGCTATCTCATTTTTTTCAAAATGGCGGAAACCGCGTTTTGAAAATCAACTATTCATATATACACATTTTTTCAAAAAGTTAATTTCAAAATTTCTTTAGGTTTTCATCTCACAGAATTTAAGCTACAGTACAAATTTCTTTATCTCTTGCAGTAACCCCTCAAGCAAGGCCTGATTATCGCAAGGACGATTCTAACCATGGTCAGCAGCAGAGGATCATCGTTGAAGGCCTCGACTCTGCCACTGTTGTTGGCATTGCTTTTGCAGCATTTGCCATCGGCATCCTTCTGACAGGAGCCCTGTGGTTCATTCACTCCCATACAGGTGATGTAACCTGTTGTAAGTGCATGAGTACTTTCCCTTTAGTTTGTTGTGCTCATTATCAAAATTTACTTTTATATAATAACTTACTTTTATATAATAACTTACTTTTTGTAATAACTTGCTTTTTGTAATAACTTGCTTTTTATATAACAACTTACTTTTATACAATAGCTTACTTCACAGGTACTTGACTACAATTTTAAGATGGCAGTTTCACAAGTTTCCCACTCCCCTAGTTGACCACACACTTCCTTCCTCTCCATCTCTCACTCTCTCTCATTCTCTCTCTCTCACTCTCTCTCTCTCATTCTCTCTCACTCACTCTCACACACATACACACTCTCACATACATTCACACCCTCTCTCACTCACTCTTTCTCTATCTCTCTCACTCACTCTCACACACATACACACTCTCTCACTCACTCACTCTCTCTCTCTCTCTCTCACTCACTCTCACACACACACACACTCTCTCACTCACTCACTCTCTCCCTCTCTCTCTCTCTTACTCACTCACTCTCACACACACACACACCCTCTCTCTCTCACTCTCTCTCTCTCTCTCTCACTCACTCTCGCACACACACACACTCTCTCACTCTCTCTCTCTCTATCTCACTCACTCTCACACACATACACACTCTCTCACTCACTCACTCTTTCTCTATCTCTCTCACTCACTCTCACACACATACACACTCTCTCACTCACTAACTCTCTCTCTCTCTCTCTCTCTCTCTCTCTTACTCACTCACTCTCACATACATACACACTCTCTCACTCACTCTTTCTCTATCTCTCACTCTCTCACACTCTCTCTCACTCTCTCCCTCCCTACTTCCAGGATCCACTACAAATGTCTAATTTTATGTCATAGCACTTTTAAACTTACAGAAAATATTTACATAGTTTACAAAGAGAATGAAGCAGTCTATATATTAAGAGTTTATTCTTACGGTCGTCTCTCCTGCCCATGCTGACCTCAATCCATTGCTTTCAGGTCCCATTAAACGTGGCGTAAGTAATCACAGAGGGGCAGATGCCAGCGGTGACCTGACGCCAAACTCCTCCTCACCCATGACAGCCTGAGAAGATGGCAGCTATTGAACTACATCATACAGCTTACGTATAGGCAGTTGGTGTGTTATTGAACTACAGCACACGTACAGGCAGTCCGTGTGACATTAAAAAACAAAACAAACGGCGTCAGTTGTTTGGAGCGCCAAAGAAGTGTGTTACTTGTTTCAACCTTGTGCGTCAAGTCCACCGCAACCCGTGTCGTTGTAAATATGGAGGTGTTTCATCGCAAAAGACATCGGCATCATTTCGCCATTAGGCTGTGTGCGCAGCAGCCGTATAAACTCTACGACACACATAGGAGCAGCCAACAGGAGCTGTCAAGCTACACATATATTCTGTCTACTGTTTCATCCAGTTTTTTTACTGCATAATTTGTTGGGTGTTTTTTTTTATTGTAACGCCTGACCATAATATGGATGATAAAATGCAGGATGGTGTTAGCACTATCGTCAGCTGTGACAGAACGCCAGTAATATAGTGAACGGAGACGCTAATTCAGCTGTTACTCTTTGCCCAACTTACTGTCCGATACACTAACAAAGGTCGTGTTCTCAAATAGTTTAAAATGACCTTGAACTCCTCAAATGCCCTTTATTAAAAAAGAAATTTGAAGGTCAACCTTGTTTTAATAACAGACAAAACCTTTTGAAGGTAAACCTTGTTTTAATAACAGACCAAAACCTATCTAAAGCTACTATAAAAGATAAATTTAAAAGAAATGTCAACAGAATGGGGAAATTAATTGGAGAATTCTTATAGCTCAACTGAACTAAATCCTAAACTCATCTTATAATAATACTTCTCATGGCTCCACAAGGGTGTTGAACAAAGCTAGGAACTGTCTTTGAATAGCTGTACAAATCCGTGTTTGCTAGAGACTCATGCCAGCTCCTAATGAGGAAACAGGTGGGGTTAAGGGGACGCCTCTGTGATATACAAGATTAAAAACATGCAGTTGGATGTGCAGGATCTGACAGACGGCACCACAGCTGCCACCTTGCTATGGGCAATGAGTATGCCATGACTGAACCATGAGGAATAATACAGACGTGTGCTTTAAAGTTCCTAATTTTTCTGAGTTTGAGATACAACAGTGTCTCCTCCTCCCCCCCCCCCACCCCCACGAATGGGCTGTAGCCATCCAATCACTAACTGCATTGTTCATGAGCCACAAGTACGGCACCACAGCTGCCAACTTGCTATGGGCAATGAGTATGCCATGACTGAACCATGAGGAATAATACAGACGTGTGCTTTAAAGTTCCTAATTTTTCTGAGTTTGAGATACAACAGTGTCTCCTCCTCCCCCCCCCCCCACCCCCACGAATGGGCTGTAGCCATCCAATCACTAACTGCATTGTTCATGAGCCACAAGTCAGGCTGCAAGGATCTCCGTCAAGAGGACGCGTAGAAGCATTGAATTGAATGAAAGAAACTCATCAAATCTCTCTGGGTTCTGAACTATACGGGTATTACAGTCAACAAGTAAAACCACATAAGGAGCTTTTTGTGTGTGTGTGTGCAGTGTTCATTTAAGGTTGAAAAAAAAATCCTCAGTCTATGTGAAAAGGCTGGACATTTTTGAAGCTGATGCTGCACATAACAGAATTAACATGGTATTTGCTTGAAAGACGAAATCAAATCAGCTGGGGATTTTAATTGAAATACAATCAAATATGAATGGATAAAGTTGATAGAGAGAACTTGCAAGTGACGAGGAAAAAAAAAAAGCTCTTCAGGTTTGGGGATGCATTTGTGGATATTTATTTCCAGTTGCTGGATTAAAAAAAGGAATGTGTTTGTCTCGTTTACTCAGCAGATTTAAAATGCCACTCTCATCCGGTGGTCTATGAATGGAGGAACAGAAAAGTGAATTGTAATGTGAACCTACTGGAGTCAGGCCGGGCTTCATTTAATGTGAATCCATCCAAAGATGCTTCTGAGATGTTCACAGCAGAAATGTTCACTCATTCTAAATTAAAATTTGTGATCAAATTTGTGCAAGGAAAAAAAGTGGATTTAGTCCCTACCTAAAAAAATAAGTTTAAAAAAAAAAAATTATGCCTCCGGAGTGTGTTCTAAGTAGATTAATGAGACACAAGCGCCCCCTAATGAGTGCAAAGATCAGGAGAACTTCTTTTTCTTTTCATTCATTTTTTAGGTATAATAGGATACTCATACTCATGTATCATGTAAAGTTATTTTATAACTATATTAATTTTTTTTGTTTTGCTGATGAAGGCATTTGCTGAAAGATTTGAATTTGCATTTTGTCTAATCATAATTAAAGCTTAGCATTTCTTGTTTTATTTGAACAAGTTGTTTGTGTCTCATTAATAGACTTAAAAACTTTATCGCAGTCCAACCCTTTTATCATTAGCTTACTACTGTGTGTTCTAAGGATTTTTGTTCACAACTGGTATAAAATTAGAATTCATTTTGATTATGTTACTCATCATACTGCCGTCTAGACATTTCATTCATTCTACCGTTTAAAAATAAAACTGATTGGTTGAGACTTCTCTGGAAATGTATATTCTATAAATGACTTCAGCATTATAACTTGCAGCCCTTTAATTTTTTTTTTTTTTTTTTTTTTTTTTTTTTTTTAAAAAGCCTTTTTTTTTTTTTTTTTTTTTTTTTTTTTTTTTTTTTTAAAAAAGTGATATGGAATTATAAATGATAAAAACATAGTTTATTTTGGGGACAGTTTATCTCAAATTCACTAAAGCTGATGTTTTCAGTGACTGTGTTGTTTTATCCACTTTTTTTTATAAATTGAATAAGTTTTTCCCTTTTACACATCACATACAAAAGAATGAGTAAGAAAATCATTATCTTTGTTTGTTTAAATTGTTTGATTCATGCTGAGGCTGTGACTGTAGCTTCAGACAATCATGTAATTATTTGGCAACTTCTCTTCTACTAATGGAAGAATAAAATACCTCAAATCCTCAGCTCCATTTATCTACTGAATTGTTTTTGGAAAGCTACTTTCACAAATGATGCATTAAGCACTGTATAATTTTTTTAATATTTTTTTTTAACATTAAAGTTGCATTATACGGGTTTAAGACTTTGCCATTCTTTGCTTTTATGACGACTCATTATGATGCCATCAAAGTCTACCTGCATTATGATATTTTATTTTGTGTAATTATTCTTTTTTTTGTTGTTGTTAAAATTGAATATTTGTGCATTTGTAAATCTTACTACACAGTTTTATGTTAGACGATAGCTTTAATATTAGCTGTAAGTGTTTTGACTTAGATAGCGAGCAGTACTCCCAGCATGGAATAACACACAGGGTAAATGCCTCTACACAACCATTAGTATTTTACCTATATTCATTTAGGTAGCACTAACTTTTGAATACCAAGGCAATTAGAAAAAAAGGAAGTTTTGTTCCTAAAAATTACCTAATTCCTCATTCTTCTTGGCTGTATATAAACTCATACATTTTTTAATGTGTCTCTGGGTTTACAGATGTAAAAAGTAAATGAATTCTTAGCATTAATAATTCATTACTGTGTTGATATTTCAGCTATCTAAGTTTCTTAAATGGCTATAAAATGACCATTTTTCCTTTTAAATATGATTTTGTCATAACTGAAAATTAAAAAGGCATAAATCAGTAAACAATTGTTATAAAATTTGACAAGCATAATAAAGACAATTGTGTTCTCTATAAATTGATTGGTCATCCATCATTCAGAAGATTATGATCTACTGACAAGACATCTCACCTCCGGCCCTCCAATCGTTTCTTCATCCAAAGTGTTGTTTTTTTCCTTTATCAGATAACACTTTAAATAATTCACTTACACGTTTCAGTATTGATTGTCATGTACAAATATGTTTCAGCCAACTTTTGAACCCAATGGTAGTCGGTGGCTAGCTGGCTGCTTGAAAGATAATTCTTTATAAAAAAATTTCTTTTTTCTTTGTACGGCTAGCAGAATCTGACAGCAATTATACGGATGGTAGCGTTATTTTTTATAAAGTTAGATGTTGTATTACATTTGTTTGTATTCGTCTCAGATGTCAACTCAATTTTTCTGGGTTTCCTTTTCTTAAGATCTTAGAGGCATCTAGTTGTAGAAGCTCATTAACTGACTGTATAATTAATTTTTTTTATATTATCTCAGCTACTTTCGATTTATTTTTTAAAAAATATCACACAAATAAGATTTCTTTCAAAAAATTTCGAGCAAAATAAAATGTTTAAATGAATAGGACATGCTGCGCAAAATTTTTTAAGACTTTCTTTTTGGTATTCTTTCACAGCTTAAGTAAATATTTTTATGTTACTTGAGCTCAAAAGGAGCGTATGTTCTTAGTTCTCAGTTTTTGAAATTAATGTGAACGACAATAAGTCCATTGTTCAAGGAATTTTTTTAGCTGCGTGTTACTAATAACTTTTTTTTTCTCCAAATTTAATTCTATGGAAATGTTAAATTGATAAAGATTTGTATCCCTAGAAAAGACAACGTCACTCATATGTCAAAACGAAAACAATTGTTTATGTTTGTTCACACATAATATGCAAATGAACAATTCATGAAAAATTTGTTAAAGACATGAGGCAGTTATTTGTAATTAATTTTCTCCCAAGTAAATAAACGTTCATTGTTTTAATCACTTCCATATTAGTTATGACATCCACTGTATACCATTTCAATGATCCATACCACTAAATGATGGCTGGAGCTTTATTGTAGCAAGTTCAAAAGTAATTTATCACAATCCTACATTCATCCACATCTGTTTTTATAGAAGTGGTTATCCCCCATTCACTTAACTTCTTATAGTTTCTTCACATCTTGCTAGGAAACTAAAATTTAATGTTGAGCAGTTTTATTTTGCGGCTGGGGGTAGCTTTTATACTATATACGTAAAGGAAATTTAGGACCTGGATCCCCGCTGTCAAAAATGTCAGTTTGATTTGAATTTTTTGCAGCAGCCCTTTGAACAAAAGGTTAAGGGAAATATTTATTTAACATCAGTTTGTGGGTCTTGTCATTAATTCCCTTGCTAGAGGTTTTCAGGTACAATTATTTTACTGTCATCTTAAAAACATTTCCTGAGTATACTACCAGTAGTTTGGGAATTCTTTTCTTTTAAAATCAATGTTATTTGAGTTTCTGTTTTTGGTATTATATTTAAACAATTTGCTTGTCTATCCAATTTGAATTATTTATTTTTTATTTATGGGGTGGTTTTAAAAATTGTATACAGGGAAAGTATAGTTTTTTTGCTTTTTTTATAATTGTTACTTACTTCAACCAAGTAATGATAGGTCAAAGCTCTATTTGAAATTGGAACACCCGGGTCTCTTCCGTTACTCTCTACACCGTGACACTTTTTAAAAATATATATATACATTTATTCTACGTCATTATTTAAGACCTCAACTTTGTTGTCATTGGTTTCAAAGCCTAAACTGAGATTGCATGAATGCATGCACACACAAAGTAACCTCACTTGTAAACAAAATGGGAAAGTGGAGGGGAAATAATATAGTTACAAGCTCCATTATGTTCATTTATAGCAGGATGGTGTTTGCACTGTTGTCAGCTGTGACGGAACACCTGTAAATTAGTGAATGAAGGAGATTATTCAGCTGTTACTCTTTGTCCAGCTTACTATCCTATACACTAACAAAGGTCGTAATCTCAAATTGTTTAACATGATAATGAACTCCTCAAATTAGTAGCCATGTTTTCTTGACTGAATACTCACAAATTTGCCAATTTATCTGTGCCTTTAAAATAGTTGAAAACCCAAAACATTATTGTCTATGTACACTTCATTCTGTAATCTAATTTAATTGACCAAAGATTTCTTTTTGTTTCATATTACAATATAAAATATATATTGTATCAGGGAAAAATTATTGTACTTCTTGGGAGACTACAAGGAAGAATATTGACAATTTGAAGGGAAAAAATAATAATTCATTACCATTTTAAAAAAATTCTTAAGTAGTAAAAAATGTTTATTGGTTTTGCCCATGGGAATAACGTATTGTGATTGAAATTTTTTCTAAGAATTTTTGCAATGTTGTGAGAACCCCTTTAAAAAATGGCAGTTTTTTAACCTAGA